CTCTCTCTCTCTCTCTCTCTCTCTCTCTCTCTCTCTCTCTCTCTCTCTCTCTCGCTCTTGTCTTCGTGCACGCCGAAAAGGAAGCATGACTGTCCAGACTGTTTCATCGGAGGTTGAACCCCGACAGTCTGCCCAAGATGCATCTGCGTGTGCGTGTGTGACGTCATGTTCGCTTTACACAACTCCATAAAAAAAGGTTCGACTATGCCAGACTGAACCAAGCACCGATTCCACGATGCCCATAGCACCATTGCATTTAGCACGAAGCACGGATCCCATGAACAAATCGCCGATGCACGTAGCACCGAAACCAAACCAAGCACGGAGTAGCATGAAGTAGCACAAATGCACCGAGTAGCACCAAGCAGCACGAAAGTGGCACCGAAGCACGAACCAAACACAACCAAGAACGAAGTACCAAGCACTGAGAGAAAGAAAAGGAGAGTGAGAGAGTGAGAGGTAGAGGGAGATCCACAGAGAGAGAGAGAGAGAGAGAGAGAGAGAGAGAGAGAGTTATGGTAGGCAGGCCATAGGCAGGTAGGTTGCCTAGGTGGGCGTAGGCAAGTCAGTAGGTCGTTGCGTAGGGCAGTAGTTTGTCGGGTACGGTAGTAGTTTGTCGCATAGGGCAGCCGTTGCGTGAAGTCGGACAGCCCTCGTTCGACGCGAACAGGGCCATGGCACCGCCCCGCAACGGGCCCTCTTCTCAACGGGCGTGCCGATCCGGGCCGCCCACGGCCCTACCGGGCCGACGGCCAGGATTTCCGCACGATCTTAAGACTTAAGATCGCGCGTCGATCCAGGCCGTCTGGCAAAGCGGACGGTCTGGATCGCCGCGCGATCTTAGTCTTAAAGTCTTAAGATCGCGCGGAAATCCGGGCCATCGGCCGGCAGGCCGCGGGCAGGCTGGATCGGCAAAATGTTGCACTCCAAATAGCGATTTCGATAAGTGTAGGGATTGTAATGTATTAAACCCACTGATTAGGTACTGGACTTGAGTTCCACCTCACAGACACACACACAGAGAGAGAGAGAGAGAGAGAGAGAGAGAGAGAGAGAGAGAGAGAGAGAGAGAGAGAGAGAGAGAGAGAGAGATTGGCGGGAGATTGGCAGGAGTAGGATTTGAACCTACAACATTCAGATTATGAGCTGGATGAGTTACCAACTACTCTATCCCACGAACGTAGTATTAGTATGGCTCTTCTTTGCACAAGAACGTGATAGGTCCGGGCTTGAACCATGTCTCCCAAAATAAATCAGTACATATGGCGTAAGACGATTTCACGGATCGAGGTCGGTGTCCTCTTCTTCTCCCTCTCTGTCTACGGTTTACCGGGCAGCCCTGTTTGACGATATAGTGTATTTTTTGGCTGTGACAGACCTTTCTTTGTTTCGTGGGTGTTTTGCTTGCTTGTGATGGGGTGTGAACCGACAGTCTGTAGAGTTTTCCATCTGGTGTGGGTGAGTGATACTCTGCTTTGACTGTTGCCACAGGTATTTTGAGGGCAGTGGTTGGTGCCCACCTCAGGGTATCAGTTGTCGGGCAGTCATTGATGCTCAACCACAGCCGGGGTTAAGGTGGATTATCACTACAGTGTAATCAGTCAGGGGATTCTGCAGACTGTTGAGGGTTCAGCCTCCTGATGAGTCAGTGAAACTCCGACGAAACAGTTTGCCACAGCCCCTCGTTTGTTGTCCTCTTCTCCCTCTCTGCCTACGGTTTACCGTGCAGCTCTGTTTGACTATATGTATATGATGAGTCGGTGAAACTCCGGCAAAACAGTTTGCCACAGCCCCTCGTTTGTTGTCCTCTTCTCCCTAAACCGTAGGGAGAGAGGGAGAAGAGGACAACAAACGAGGGGCTGTGACAAACTGTTTCGTCGGAGTTTCACCTCCCTACTCATCAGGAGGCTGAACCCTCAAAAGTCTGCAGAATCCCCTAACTGATTACACTGTACGTGATAATCCACCTTAACCCCGGCTGTGGTTAAGCATCAACGGCTGGCCGGCAAAGGTTCAGCCTCCTGACAAGTCGGTGAAACTCCGACGAAACAGTTTGTCACAGCCCCTCGTTTGTTGTCCTCTTCTCCCTCTCTGCCTACGGTTTGCCGGGCAGCTCTGTTATATATATCAGGCGGCTGAACCCTCTGTTTGACGATATGTCACAGCCCCTCGTTTGTTGTCCTCTTCTCTCTCTGCCTACGTCGCCCTATGGTTTCCCAGTCTCGTTTCTTGTCCTCTTCTCCCTCTCTGCCTATGGTTTATCGGGCATCTCTGTTTGATGATGTATATATCACAGCCCCTCTTTTGTTGTCCTCTTGTCCCTCTCTGCCTACGGTTTACTGGCCAGTTCTCGTTTACGATATGTTTATGTATATGTATATAGGCATTTTGATTGTTGCTCTCAGATTGAGTGGTTTTCCTTCTTAGCAGCTGTCTGATGGTTGCTTTGACCAATTAGTGTGTTTTGTCGTTTGGCAGTTGAGTTGAGTAATCAATTACTAATCACTAATGAGCGTATGTTATCATTTATAGTCATCTCTCAGGTCAAGATGACGGAGACGAAGTAGAAAATCTCAGACATTTGCTTTGACTGATTGACGTGTTTTGTCTTCTGGTAATTCCTTTCATTGATTAGCTTATTTTGTTGTCTGGTTGTTCTTTTGATCGATTAGCGTATTTGATTGATTGACTGGTTGGCATTTCGGAGCTCGAGATGCTCAACCGAGTAGAAGTTCAGATCTCTGACGTGTTAAGTTTTTACGGCATTCTTAATCGCGCCTTCCTATACATTGACGATATATACATGCTGGACATCAACAGATGTGAAAATCGATGGTCGGATGTAGTCTCTTCCTGGATGGAGAAAGGAGGACGATGGAAGACGCAGGGGTCGTTTGCGGCCAGTCGTCGAGGCCGGGACAAAAGGCAGGGGGATCAGATCGAGGCGGGAAATTGAGGGAGTAATCGATCTGATCGGGGTGGAGAAGAGAGATGACATGGCACCCGGAGGGAAGAAGAGAACACCTGGCACAAGAAGCAGAGGGCTTACATTGAGGCGGGAAATTGAGGGAGGAATTGAGCTGATCGGGAAGGAGAAGAGAGATGACATGGCACCCGGAGGGAAGGAGAGAAGACTTGGCACGGGAAGGGAAAGAGAGCACCTGGCATGGGGAGGGAAAGAGGTGGGACGTGGTAGCTACTGGGTAATATGTCGGTAATATGTTGGGAAAATGAGGGAAAGAAACGATTTGTATGTGGAGGGAAAGAAATGACGCGGCACAGGGCGGGAAAGAGAGATGACTTGGCAGCAGGAGTGAAAGATGACGTGGCAGATAGTGGATAGTATGTCTATCTTCGATGGGCGGGAGAGAATGTAGAAGGGGTGGGTCGCGGGCAGGGTGGGGGGACGTTCCACACATGTGATAGATATGAATGGAAGGATTGAATAGTTGACGGTCCGTGTTCAAGCCCTCAGAAGAAGTAGGAGGTTACGTCCAGCGGCTCGATGACGCGAGGAAAGGGGAGAAAAAGGGACCGAAGGGAGGGTTGGGCGGGTTGGGTATGAGGAGCGGGCACTGCGTAGATGTATAAATAGATTGAATAGATGTGCACTCGAGTTGTTGATTGATAACCCGTGTTCAAACCCTCAGAAGGAGAATAAGAAGATAAATATAGATAAGTAAATAGAGAAGACGGTATGTTAATTGATGTACTGTGTACTGCCCATTTGTTTGCTGTTGTTATTATTCTCTATTTAGCGAGCGAGGTCTCCTGTCCACGTATGCTCGAGGGTTTTTCAAACGCCGAATAGAAAGCATGAGGTCAGCGATTGATTATGGGATGTATCTCGTACGATGGTGGAGAATTGCTGTAATGTTGCGATAATTGCAAGTGGAAAGAGGCGGGGGGGGGAAGAGTGGGTTCAATTCGAAGGAAAGATGTCCTGTGCCAATCTGTATCTGTTAATGCCTCTCTCTCTCTCTCTCTGTGTATCTGTTAATGCCTCTCTCTCTCTCTCTCCCTCTCTCTCTCTCTCTCTGTGTTAAAGAGGGACAGCTGCGGATTGTGCGAAAGTTAAAACAGTCTGGTTATTTTGAACACCTGTCTCTTCCTCATCTTAATCACACCTTGTCCATTTTCTTAATCTTATCCACATCTTTATCCACAACTTATCCACATCTTATCCACATCATCTTATCCTGTCGAAGTCTCTAACATTCTCTAATGTCTGGCATTACCCTCTAACTCATCAAGGAGTTTTTCCACCAGCTGAATGCCCCGTTTGGTAGTTGGCGCCTGCTGTGGCTGGCTTGTGGTATGTGTATTTTGTAAGCGTTTGGTTGGATGATAGCAGCTCTGCTGCAGTTGCGCTTCGACACGGAATCGGCGTGGAGATGATTAGAGAGAACATGAAAACAGGAATGATTTCAGTTGTGTAATGCTGACAGAGAGAGGGGTGTAATTGTTGTGAGCGTTTGGATTCGGATGATGATAGCAGTTGGTGCGGTTGCGTTTTGACACGTTATCGCTGTGGAAATGATTTAGAGTATATGAAAACAGAAATGATTTGGGTTTTAATCCTTCCTTGGCACAGAGGGGTTTGAAAGTGATCTATGTCTGAATAGCTCCGAATGCGGTAATAGAAGAATAGAAATTCTACTTGCTGAAGGCAGGATGCAATGCAAAATCCAAAACGAGTACTTTATATATGTTACGTACATGGCCTTTTTTTTGCTCTTTTATTTGATTGATGAATGGGCGTAGGAGTTAAATTATGTGGTTGAGAAGCTCGAGCACTAAGTAATTGACTAAATTTATCTTAAAGCAGGACAAGCCGAGGTACGATCCATATGAGTAATTGGACACAGTCCTAGATGGTGGTCTGAAACGCCAGCGGTTGTGTGTCCTCACTCTCTCTCCCTCTCACACTCTCTCTCTCTCTCCTCTTCCTCCTCTTTGCCGAACTTTGGTGTCTGCCTCTGCCTGCATGCCTGCCGTAGATCCCATGCGGAGCGAAGCTGACGAACGGACGGGATTTGTCAATGTCAACGAATGAGTGATGTCATCACTGGCACGTGTCTGGTGCAGACCCGGTCTCGAGTCGAGCCCGCAGACGGCCAGGATTGCTGATTATGATAGAGCTGGCACTCAGCGGTGGTCTGCGGAGACGAGTGGACAAACGGACACAGGATTTTTCAATGAATGAAGTCATCACTGCTGCGTGTCTGGTTCAGACATACTCTCGAGTTGAGTCAACAGACGGCCGGGACTTGCTGACAACGCCATAGCTGGCACACACCGAGCTCTGCGACTGTCTGTCCCAACAACGAAAATGTCATCGGGAACACCCATCTCATCGCCTTCGCCTGGGGGACGGCCAATTAAGCTGCTATCTGCGATGGTGCTTCAAAGTGGAAATGGAAGTCGTACGTCCTAGAGATGCATGCTAACGGTTGCGGGGTATCGAAGCCGTCCTCCAGACAGTGCAAGGTGTGGATTGTCGAAAGGGGAGGGTGCATTCCTCTTCTTGGATACTGTTCTGCCGAGGTGGGCAAAGTGTGGTGTGTGGGAGGACGGAAAGCGAACCGCAGTGGGCATTTTCTCTCACGAAGATCAGCGGCTGTAAGACAAGGAGAAGTCGGGATTTAGATCGATCAAACGGTGCAGAACCGGCTCAGAATCGTGGGAGTGTGGATGTGATTTGGGAAGCGCTCTTTGAGGTGGAAGAGGTTGCGGACACAAGTAAGTGGCGGAGGGAGAAAAAGAGGTGGGAGGAAGTAGAGGAAGATGATTAAGGGGAGCAGTGAATGGAATGAGATGATGTGGCTTGATGCAAGGGTTGCCATTGGGGTAAGGGCGCCAAGGATGAGGAGGGGTAGGTTTCCAACAACATGCCTGCTATCACCAGGGACACATAAGTCGTAGTAATAGGAGGAGGGGTCGTAGTAATAGGAGGAGGGGCCATTCCTCAAACCCAGAACAGGACGGGAAGAGGGGGAGGAAGAAAGGGGTTGGTGTTGCTTGAACCCTAAAATAGGACGGGAAGGGGGGTGGGGCGGGGGTGAACTGGGGAGGAAGGTGTTCAAGGAGAGTAGGAGTAGAGGCAAGGGAATCTGTCTCCGGTCGTGGGTGTTGGGGAAGTGGAGCGAGAGTATAAAGAGGAAAATCTTAAGGAGAGAGTGAGGAATTGGAAAAGATTTGGCGAATTTGTAGCAGGGGAGAAAATGCCGCGAATTACGATGGATGATGATGTTCAGAGCCTTGTCCGTATAGCTTGTGCCGGAGATGGGTTGGTTCTTGGGCTGGGAATGGGTCTGCTGGCGCTGCGTGAGTGGTGGGAGTATCGGCAACATGGAAGTGCGCTCCGGATGATCCAGGAGACTTCTGTGACACGGCTTTCGGATGCGCGGATGATGGTCTCCTCAACTGCCACCCCTGCTGTTTCGATGTCCGCCTCTTCGGCTTCGTCCTCGTCCTCGTCGTCTGCAACTGTGCCGGCTATGGCAGTGGTGACTGCATCATCATCGTTTGCCGATGTGGAAGGCAGCGGGTTTGCCAGCACCAGTGAATCAGGTGGGGTCCATAAAGGTGGCAGAAATGGAGCTGCAGGTGTACCCACTGGGGCAGTTGGCGAGAGTCATCCCCCGCCACCTAGGGGTAGTGGCCGTGCTGCACAAGTGGGATTTGTCGGGACTGCCAAACTGACTGGTGTTGGTGTGCGGCAGCCACGAACAGTGATTGCCGGAGCTGGAGGCGGAGGGGTAGGAAGCGGAGGAGGAGGTGGCAGTGCGGGTGGCGGTGCCGGTGGAGTGGATCATCGCCGCCAGCAGCAGGCGCCACCATCGTCATCTCCCCCATCTACAGAACGCTTCATCATTGTTCGGGGTAAGGTGCAGGCAAAGTCCATGACAGAGGTGATTAGGAGCCGAAAGGGTGAGATGCTTAACAAACAGATGGCAGAGAGCGGGCGGGATTTCAAAGGGGTAATCTGGGAGAAAACGCAAACCTATCTGTATAACGAGATGAGGGGTTTGTTTGGCTGGATGACCCAGCAGAAGGAGCAGATCGGGGTTTCGCGACGGACAGTGTCTTTCGGACTCTCCGAAAACCCCTCGTCCAGAGATTCATTTGTGGCAGTTGATACCAGTGGTTCCCGACAATCGCTCCCACTGGTCAGCGTCTACAAGAACGTCATCCCTGCCGAACCGTCATCTTCGACAGCGATTTTCCACCTTCTTTTTGGGCAGAGATATCCGGTAGGGTTGTTGGAAGAGGAGCGGATGCTGTTGGTGAATCAGGAGGTCACAGCGGTGGGGCACCTGTACCAAGGACCAGATGGATTGCCCACTATCAAGGCAAGGAAGGACTTCCCGGTATTCCTGACGGACAAAGACAAGGATGGGTTGGTCCGTTCGATGGTCCGTGATTCAAGGTTTTTGTGGTGGACAGGTGTGTTCTTCACAGTGGTGTCTGGAGGCATCTTGGCGTATTCATTGTTCAAACACGCATGGCGATGGAAACAGGAGAGGAGGAGGAGGAGGGGATTACTCCTTGGGAGAGGGGTTGGCGATGGTGCCTATGATGGTATCGTAGATGGGAGTTCGACCACATCTGGCCTTCATCTTGTTGATGAGGAAAGTGACGAAGAAGGGGCAATTGGAGATGGGGAACTATGTTGTGTCTGTCTGACACGTAGGCGTCAGGCTGTGTTCCTGCAGTGTGGACATCGGTCGTGCTGCTTTCGATGTGCCATGGTCGTTGCTGAACAGCCTAGTGCCTGCTGCCCTATGTGTCGACGGGTCATCACAGGAGTTGTCCGTGTGTACGACCCCTAGAAGACACCAGGGGAGATGAAGGCACACCACCGTCTTCTCTCTCTCGGTCTTTATTGCTGATCTCACTTTCACCTCCTCTCTCTCTCTCTCTCTCTCTCTCTCTCTCTCTCTCTCTCTCTCTCTCTCTCTCTCTCTCTCTCTCTTCCCCCTCCCCCTCCCCGTCCCTGACATTCTCCCTCGTGACTCGCCGTCCTTGGCTCCCACTACCATCTGTCCATTCTTTTCCTACCGCTTTCACTCTCTGATCTGTGGTCAAATTCTTACTTTGGCATTTCAACGCGTCTGCTCTTCCGGTTTTGCCTCTTCTCATTCTGTTCTTTTCTCATCTGTTTCTCCCTTCCGCTCCTCTCACCGTGTGTGATCCCCAGTCACCTTTCTTGATCCCCCTCCTCCCTCCCACCTCCTTAAACCCCCCACACCGAAGAAAACACTCCCTTTGCTCCCCCTGCCCAACCGAGTCTGGTCGCCTTGCCTTGCTTGTTGTTCTGCCTTGTTGGGACTTAGGACTGGCCCTGGTGCCCCAATGTTGAATAAGAAGGGTCGAGTTGTCGAGTCTTGTCCCACCCCTCATTGTATATATCTACAAATTGTATTAAAGCCTTGTTGTCCCCCCCCCCCCCACCACCACCACACGAAGAAAAGTGACGTGAAGAAATTAGGGAGGAGTGTGACATGTGGATGCATGTGCCATGTGGGCATCGCTACCAGTGTGTGATTAAATGTTGAGTCTTAATCTGCCACTTCTCCCAATGGGGTGCTAAACCCTACAGCGCTTAGGAAAGCCTGTGGCCGTAGGATTACAGATCCAATGGATCGCCTGGGAGGAAAAGGGTTGTGATTCTGGTCACTGGGAGGCTGTCAGAGGTAGCAGGGCAGTGTACTACCGGTAGTCAGCAAGTCAACATGACTCGTCAGCGGCAGCAGGCCCTTTGCTGCGGTGTGGTTGGTGACAACGATGTTTACCTCTGTCGTGTGCCATATTTGCAATATCAGAGGAGAGGATACTCCCTGTGGTCGTCGCGTTGGTTTGTTCGCGTCAGCGTCATGAGAAGCGTAGTGGAGAGAGAGCGAGTGCAGAACAGATCGATGTCGGGGAAGGAGTGGGAGTTCTCGTACTAGAAAAGGAGGTCGTGTAATTGCGAAAAGGAAGGATGAAGGAAAAGAAAGAGGGCCATCCTTTCAGCAGAGTGTGCATTTGTTGCATCTTGTTTGTCAGTCTCGTTCAAGGGGGGAGACAGAGGGGGTCTCGTTCAGTCCTTTGCAGCATGCGCGCGTGTGTGCATCTGCATGTGCATGTGCAACAGTGTCATGCTGCGTCTTTAGGTTGGGTCGAAGTAGGCATGGTGAGGATTGAAGGTCAACCCAAGAGGAGTGAATAGTTATTCAATACAGAAGTGAGAACTAGATTTCATCCGGCGTCTATTCGTCACGCCTCTAGTAAAGGGAAGTAGGTTGGCTATGGAGATAGACTTATGGACAGCGACTGGGAAGGACTATGGGATACCAACACAGTAGCGTGAGTAGCCAGTTTAGCAGTATTAAGGGTTCAGCCTCCTGATGAGTCGGTAAAACTCCGACTAAACAGTTTGTCGCGGCGCCTCGTTTGTTCTCCTCTTCGTCCTCTCTGCCTACGGTTTACCAGGCAGTTCTGTTTGACGATACTATAGACAGAGTATAGACAGAGCCATAGGCAGTCGTACCTGTTGGAGATTTTCGGTCTGTGGTGTAGCATTCAGTCTGTGGTGGGATGGGGTTTGGGAGGTGCTCTCTGGTTTCCGCACTTAAGTCGCACTCTTTCATATTAAATGCTTCCTTTGTGGTGTATAATGTTTGTTAAAACTTCCGCTTTGAGAACCGAAATGTGTGACGAACGAGGTATTTGAACGACTGACTTTGCGGCAGAAAAATATGTAGCATGCATCTGCTGAATGCTGCTGCCGCCGCCGCTGCTGCCACTGTTGCTGCTGCCGATGCTGCTGCGGATGCCGATGCCGATGCCAACGCCGATGCTGATTATGAAAATAGAGTTATGAGTCTTAAACCTATGAAATGCTGCTGCTGCTGCGGATGCCGATGCCAATGCAGATGCTAATGCCGATGCCAATGCTGAATGAGATTATGAAAATAGAGTTGTTTTAGAAAGGGAATAGATATATAGATGAAAGTGCCTAGTTCAGGAATTGTTGTTGTTGTCTCATTTTTGTTGACTGCATATTCATAGTCGTTGAAAGGTCGAAGCGGATCTAGTGAAAAAATGTTAAATTTCTTGGCTTTGTCGATTGCATGTTTATACTTTGGAATGTAGCAAAGCTCATCTTGAAGAGATGGGTTAGACAAATGTTTGATATTTATTACACAAATGATTGATTTGGATTGGACAAATGATTGATGATGGTTATTTAGTAATTTCATGGATTAAAATGAAGTATAGAAAAAAAAAAAGAAGTTAAAAAAAGTTAAAAAAACTACTTTGTAATGCCTAAACTGTGAAGGCAGTGCTTGTTTGGATGGTGGAACAGCACCAGCAAAGGGGTTTTGTTATAAAAAAAAAAAAAGGATGGTGGAAAAAAAGAAAAAAGAAAAAGGATGGTGGAACATAAGGATAATGATTGGATGTGTTTGTAGCTTGGTACTCACACTAGCGTCTTCACCCGAATATAACACCCGGTCAGTATCACTGTATGTAGACTGAAAGTTGCGCACCAAAATACGGCTATAATGACCGGGCGTTCTAGTGGGGTGTTCTAGTGGGGTGAAGACGGTACGACTTTCCTGGAATGTTGCGAGCGAAATTGTGAGATTCAGTCGAGAGTCAAGAAACGATTCCCGTGCGAGTATGGCCTGCTGTCTTCACCCGAATAGAACACCCGGTCATTATCGCTGCATCTGGTCTGGAAGTTGCCCCAAATATGGCTATAATGACAGGGTGCTCTATTCGGGTGAAGAAGGTTGTAAGGTAGGGTGGAGGTTTTATGTCATGGCACGCCAGAAAGTGTGTTTCAAGTCATGATGGTAATCCTCATGCTAGGCATTTCCTGCATGTATCGAACTGTATATATGCGGTCAAATTCATTTGAAGAAGAGTCCCAGTGTGAGCATGCCCCGAGGTAGATCTTTGATGTGGTTTCACACTGGGAGCAGTCTAATCGGAACATGTCGGACACATTGTCTTTCCTGGAGGAGGCTTCTGGTTGTGATTGCGTTCAGATTATGCCAGAAAAGAACTGCATGCAGCTGTCTTCACCTGAAGAGAATGCCCGGTCATTATCGCTGTATTTGGGGCTTTGGTCAGTCTACCTTTTTCCCCCGAATACAACGCACGGTCATTATATCTGTATTTGAGACATCTTTCAGTCTAGATACAGCTAGAATGTCCGTACGTCGTATTCGGGGGAAGAAGGTAGTTACAATGATAATGACTGTGCGTTCTATTTGGTTGAAGAGGGTAGTGTCGGTCAGTATTGCCGATTTCTGTTTAGTACCTCTCTTGGACTGTGTGCGCTGTTCCAAGAGGTGAACTTTCAGGTGAACTTTCAGGTGAACTTTCACGTGAACTTTCAGGTTTCAGTATGAAGGGGTAATCGTGCTGCTCATGTACATACGTCTCTGTGCTTGTGCTAAATTTCCTGAGTATCTGAGAAAACATGTTTTCAGTTCAAAGGACAACTGTAAAAACTGTGCTGCGTTGGAGGGTCTTTTGGGAGAGAATTTAGCACAAGCATAGAGACGTATGTACATGCCTTCTGAAATCAGCGCGGTTGTTACGTTTGTCCAGACTTGGCATTTGAAAGGACAAATGTAATAACCGCGCTGCATTTGAAAGATGCGTCTGCTTTCCAAATGCCTGTGCTAGTCCTCCCGTTCGTCGGATTTCCTTGACGGGAACATGCCTTTTGCAGATAGCGTTGTTGCGCCCAACTGTCTGTGCTATACCATTTATGTATTTCGTATTTTTTTTGCTATTTCGATGCCCAAGTTTTGTGCACTGGTAAGCAGTCCTGAAAGGGCAGCAGGGCATCCAGCCACGTCTGGAAAAGCACAGGGGCATGGGAGCAAATGTTCCTCCAAAGCATCTATTTATAGACTGAATGTGCATGCCCCATGTAAGTGGTGCTGTGAGCGGGCTGTGAAACACGAATGACTTAAAATGAAAGAGGGATCGGTTTTTGAGGCCTGCCCCTTGGTCTCTGAAATTGACCCTTCTCAGAATGCGATGAATCTGGTCGCAACTGGCTAACTCCATTTTGGCCTGTCACAAGCGTCGTGCCGTAGAGAACGACACTTTAGTCCCTGTTTATTTGACTTTGACTTTGAGTTTGACTTTGACTTTGAGTTTGAGTTTGACTTTGACTTTGTGTTTGACTTTGAGTTTGCCTTTGACTTTGAGTTTGAGTTTGACTTCGAGTGTTTTGGAATCATTTGTGTGCCATGCAAACCCATACCTGACCGTGATACGACTATACGTGTTGTTCTTTTTTCTTTTTTGATACGACTATCCAAGATAATCCTGAACTGCTAGATGCGTGGCATGCAAGGCCATGACTTTGCACCATCATGGGGCACCACGAGTTTTGCCCCCGAGAAAATCCTGGCCCCTCACCTGGCCCCTTAGACCATGTGCTTGTAGAGAAGGGACAATGGTTATGCCACCCACAGCATACGCTCTCCATGCCTGCTGAGGGAGCCACGGGGATGTGACCTACAGTAAACATTCTGTGAGCCTGTGCACAGAAGATCCATGCCTGCCAGCACCTTTTGCATGTCAAACCCCTGGACTCAGCCGATTGGCCAAATGACAATGCTACGCAGCAAGATGAAAAGAGGCCAAGCACTGGCAACGACCAACGAAGGGATTTGAGCAAGAAAATGTGTGTGCGTGTGTGTGGGGAGAGAGAGAGAGAGAGAGAGAGAGAGAGAGAGAGAGAGAGAGAGAGAGAGAGAGAGAGAGAGAGAGAGAAATGTGGACACCTTCCAGCTAGATGAAAAGAGGCCAAGCATCAGCAATGACCAGCGAAGGAAGTGAGCAAGCAAATGTCTGTGTGTGTGGAGAGAGAGAGAGAGAGAGAGAGAGAGAGAGAGAGAGAGAGAGAGAGAGAGAGAGAGAGGTGGGTTGAAAGGGTGTTACGAGCAGGAAAAAAGGTGAATGGCTATAGGAACTGTGTTTTTCGAAGATGAGCTGGAAAAAAATGAGGTGGAACAAAAGAACAAAAAGATGACTGAAGGACCAGTTCACATGAAGCCTAAATTGACGAAGTGACCTTCCAAGGCTCTTGAGCCTCTGCTACTGCGCCATTTTGGAGTGGCCTACCAGTTTTGTTGCTAGTGGCCCAGATCCGAATCACAATGCTCTTACTTTGTACAGCGGTGAGATCAGTAGTCTGCTTCAGCTGAACTGGCTGTTGAAACAACAAGTACTTGATCCAGCTACTGGCCGTGGGAAAAAATATAGAGTAGAAACATTTCTAGTCGGATGAATTTGGACGCACCTGTAGTGGTCCGTACATGTCCTAAAATCCCGGCTTGTTAACGGGCACGACTTTAGGACGTACTGGTGGTTTATTCAGAAGAATATGAGTCCTTGCTCCAGGCGTGTCTGCCTCATCCTATTTGCTCACAGTACGTTGTCTCTCGTCTTCCTGGGGTTGGTATGGACTCCTGTTTTTTTTTTTGTTTTTTTTTTTGTAATGGAAACAGGGGCTTGGTTGGTGGCAGTTAATCGAGTGCAAATGTCTGAGTCAAGTGTCCGAGAAAGAACCAAAGACAGGCTTGCCATAAAGAAAAGAAAACTGAATAAGAATATTCCTCGTTGCGAATCTGTTGCAAAGCTATGAACAGATGCAAGTAATCCCGTACGAACAAAAAAAGTACCTAAAAGACTGAATAAAAAAGTGGCTGTCAGGTAGGCAAGCATCTCAGAGTGCTGTGTAGTGCTGCCTGCCTCATCACAAATTCATTTCGTAAATCAAACAGATTAAATGTTCAGGGATGCTGGACCCGCTTTCCGGCAGGTGCTCCTCCCCACCAATTGATGGAGCCTCCCGGGGATTGGTAGCGGTGTCTGCTCTTATCAGCACCCCTGGCAATCTACTGGGTTGTTTTGTTAAAAAAAAAAAAAAAGAAAAAAAAAAAAGACTGAATTAAAAAGTAACAATGTTTAGAAAGGAGGTCCAAGAATTCATCCGAAATGAAATGACTGAATGAATACAAGCTGTAGCTAATACCCAATGCATCAAAGATGCATTTCCTACGGGATGATCGGGATCCCAAAACCACTGACCGCCCCAACCTAGCTCATGCTCTTTGTATTCATGCTGCACATTTTCTTCTTCCCCTTTTTGTTTTCCTCCTCTGCTGCTACTTCTTCCCAGGGACTCGGTGACTCGTTGAGATAGTGGTCGAGATGCTCTGTGATTCATTGAGATAGTGTAGTGGTTGAGATTGCCTGTGAGAAATTCCCAGCGCTAATTTCACCGTAGACCGAATAGCTCGCGAGCCTTTTCCGCTGAGTCCAACTGAATGGATTGGTTAAACCACCAGTACCTCTCCCTGCTTGAAGAATTCGACGCGGCCGTGGTACCCACCGGTGTGCGACCGGTAGGCCCCCCAAAACGGGCCCCGGAAAAAAAAAAAAAAAAAAAAAAAAAAAAAAAAAAAAAAAAAAAAAAAAAAAAAAAAAAAAACACGATGACGAAAATGAAAAGTAATAGCCTAAAACAAACAGGTGCGGCGGGTTGGGGGAAGGGGGGTTAAGAGTATGCTTGGTACTTGCACTTGGCCCTAATAATCGCAGAACCACGAAATCAGTGGACAGTTTCAAGTCGTCCTTCCACCGCTCTGGCCCACTGATTTTGCGAATACAAGGGCCTAGTGCGAGTATGCGCTAAACTGATTGAATCATTGATCGATGAACGAATCAGGAAACCAGCCAATCAAATCGGTTAATCAATGAAGTAACTGACCATCCAGTCAATCTATCCATCAATCAACCAATCAAGCAGTCCATCAATAATCAATATCTAATTTATATGTAGTATATACATAATTTACTTATTCTCAATAATATTAATTATTAATTAGGAAATCAATCAAATAAATTCTTGTCATTTATGGACGTTGGTTCATCAATCCATCAATCCATCAAGCAGACAGACAATCCCTCCGTCTGTCCATCAATCCATCAAGCACACAGGCAATCCCGCTCTCCGTCCATCCGTCAATCCATCAAGCACACAGCCAATCCCTCCGTCTGTTCGATGATTGCTTCGTCTATTAGTTGGTTGTTGGGTCCCCCTTTCTTTCTGTCACACTGGCTGCTCTCCTTCGCTCTCCGTCTATCCATCCTCCATCTACAGACACCCCGTCCATTCATCGATTCATCCATCCATTGATCCACCCACTCACCTACCCACTCACACATTCCTCCCTCTCTCCCTCTCTCCGTGTGCTATTTGTGCGATATATGCGGATGTAACCATGTGTGGACATGTAGAGTCACTTGGATGTGTACACCCTGACCAAATACACTGTGAACCGTTGTGTTCCTTCACAGAAATCCTCTTTCCATACATGTAGAGAAATTTAAATGGCACAGTACTGTATCCGAAACAAAGTATTGTATCTGGCTGCTTGCACTGTATGAGAAACACAGTATTGTTCCTTCGGCCAAGACGGAAGGAAGCGTAGAGTGGGTTACATTATATCCAAATTTTCATGCTCTCCGGTGGGAACGGAACACTCCTGCTCCCCCCCCCCCCCCCCCCCCCCCCCCCCCCCCCCCCCCCCCCCCCCYCCCCCTGAGCAAAACATTCTGACGTCATGTCTCCTTGGCAAGAGGATTTTCTTTTCCTGTCCTGTTTTTTTTTAACAATAAGACCCTCGGCCTCCTAGAGGGGGTGATATGGGCATCTGCCTCCTCTAAAAGTCCCGGCGCTGGTCATTTCCAGTCTATTGGTGTGGAGCAGCACCTGCTGGAAACCGGGTCCAGTGTCACATATACATTCAGGATTCTCTGACCATCGGGGCCATTACCTGGCTTCGGCTGAGATAAGCGGTGAAGTAGTGGTGTCTTTGTAAGAGGGCAGCCTCTTCAGCCCCCTCCAGTCACCGTCACTGTATCTAGACCGAAAGTTAGCCCAAATACCTCGATAATGAACGGGCATTCTATTCGGGTGAGGACGGTAGGGCCACCAGAATGAGCAGAAGCATCCCTGGCTGTGTCATTTGTTCTTGTCGCTGTTGGTGAACTCTGTCGAATCTGCCGGTTACCCACCACCGTACCACTGCATGTCCAGCGGCAAGAGTCGATGTCGCGGGACGGCGGGAAGAGATCCGGGAACCCCGAGGGTGGGGGCAGCGGGTTTGTCGCGCCCACGAGCGTCCAGTTCTTGAAGGATATTCGGTGGTCTCTCTTTGGCGCTGCCTTGTCCGATTGACCACCTCCGTACCACTGCATGTCCAGTGGCAAGAGTCGATGCGGCGGGACGCCGGGAAGAGATCCGGGAACCCCGAGGGTGGGGGCAGCGGGTTTGGCGCGCCCACGAGTGTCCAGTTCTTGAAGGATATTCGGTAGTCTCTCTTTGGTGCTGCCTCGTCCGATTGACAGCCTGCCTCCCATTGGATGTTGGCTATCCAGGCCCCTTGTTTGCTCCCCAGCCATTCCTCCAAGAACCGTTTGATTGCGTGTTCCATATTTTTTCTTTCCATTGTAAAGGTCTACCGTCTTCACCCGAATAATGCCCGGTTGTTATCGCTGCATGTGGTCTGAAAGTTGCCCCAAATACATTTATAACAACTGGGCGTTTTATTCAGGTGAAGACGGAAGTTTTGGTTTTACTTTCATCCATTGTTCCTACAATGTCCTGCTGGATTTGCTGTTTTATGGTGTCGGTCATTTCCTCTGCTGCTATGCGCACATCCTCCAAGACGCGCGTGTGCATCTCTTCCCGCTGTCCTCCATACTTTAAACTTGTTCTCTTCAGAAGTGTCCTGTCTTGTAGGGAGCTCCATGCTCCACACAACAGTGCTCTCAGTGCTCCCCAGTCCCATGGCCAGGTGAACTCAGTGCCCAGCTGACGCCGATCCTCTACCACCAGTGCCACGCGAGTATCGCACCTGGGCATTGCAATTTTATTTATGTATTTATTTTTTTAAATGTGTTCTATGGTTTCCAGGATTTTACGGCGGGCGAAAAACTGCTCAAGCATATAGTAAAGTGCAACCAACCCCCTTCTGCTCCAGGTAAGTGCGGTCTGTGAACGAGTCCGTTGTGGGCAGGCAGAGGTGCTTTATCTGCCACCACTGCAGCGAGGCGATTCCGCCGGTTTGGATGGGCCTGATTTCTTCAGATTTTTCTTCTCCAACGTTCAAGTGAGAGTGATGATCCATCGGTTCCGTACGATGACTTTGAGATTGGATCATCGATTCCTTACGATGACTTTGAGATTTACCTTTGGTCTCAATGCCAAAGTAGTTCAAATAGGCGCTTTGTTCACCTTCTTCACCTAACACATTCTGTAGGTGGCTTTCACCTCCAGACTGATTTGTTGCACGTTTTCGCCCTTCCCATGTTTGTGTGGGGGGGACCACTATCATTCCATCGGGTCAATAGGCAGATCCAGATTGGGGTATCAGGGTGGAAAGATATCCAGTTTCCCTTGTCCCCGAGTACTCTGATCCTGTATAGCTATGATTTTTCAAACCACGTCACCGCATCCGGGGAATATCTGATGAGGATGTTGCCACTTTCCCTTTGGAAAAGATTGATTGGAGTTTCGTCGACTCTGGCCTCACTTTACTCCAAGGGCGTTCCGCAAGCTCTCTGAATCGACTTGAATCACCACACAGTCGCTCTCTTGACGCTCCAGCCCCTTCCCACAAGATTCGCACCCAATCTCGGGACCCGAGATTGGGTGCAAATCACCTTATGACAGTGCTTCAGGGGCAATCACAACTGCTGTTCTGTCTTCCAATACCCGCCCTCTGGGTCCCATCTGTCCGATATTCTCATTACTCCTGTGTTAACCCAGCTCTTCCAGGGGGTGTTTGAGTCCGAGCTCCGGAAGACCCGTTTGTTGCAGTCGGCGATCTTTCTGTTGCTGAAAAAGGGTTGCCTCGCCACCTCCTCGCCACCTTCTCTCACCTCTCGGGCAACACCTTGTTTGCAAGCGGGAGTCGTCTCCAAGTCCACGGGCGTTTACCCAGAAATCGTCCTGTGTGAAATGCCCCCTTGCACCGCTGATCTGCATCTCTGGGGTCCGCTGGGGGAGGCCGTTCTTTGTGGTATGGCCTAGTAGCGGTCCTCTTAACCTGGTCAGAGGGCTGACAGCAGGGGGTGTCTAAGGTGCTAGGCTGGCAATCTGTTCTGATGCAAGGGCTAAAAAGAGGATTGACATTTGGAAAACACAAACAGAGCAGTCGAGGGGGTGCAGGAGAGGGTGGAGTAGGCGCCCCCCCCCGGCCCCTCCCCCCCAACCAACCCCTCTCCCACAACAGCATTCCCACCAACTTACCCTCATCTTACCTGACAACCATCCGTCTGCATACAAGGCCACAATACAGCCCATTATGAGCTGCGTACCCATATCCTCGCAGCAAGTCAGCTCTCTTCCTCCTTTTCCCCTCATCATTCCGTGTTGGCCTAAGCTCAATACAGCCTTCAAAGTTTGGACCTGGAGAAGTCAACAACCATGACAAGCAAGCTCTGTCGTACATCCTCGAAGCTCAACCTCCTTACCCTGGATGTTTTCCGTCCCCTCAAACTTTGCTCCCAGCTCTCCCTAGAATTGTCAAGCTCTCAGTCCTTCGGGACATCCGTTGCAATTGGAACGATACAGAGAAGATTAGCATGGCCCCTGCGAAAGGATGACACACATAAATCGAGAAATGGTCCAAATAAAAAAAAAAAGGAAAAAAAAAGAAAAAGAAAAAGAATTGTGAAGCCCTGAGTTATGAAAAGTGGCGCTGTGATCAGCAACAGGGAGCTCTGACCTGAGAGCTTACTCCCTGGGTATCAGTGGCCAGGAGCTACGTGACCCCGTAGGCCGCGGCCGAGGAGGCCGGCCGCGGGCCCCGGCCCAGGAGGGAGCAATGCAGTTGCCTCTCGAGTCTTTAACCCTTCCTGTTGAGATGGTTCACAAATCTCAGAAGTCCCCCGTCTAGTCCCAGGGACTCAGTTTCCCATTGTACCATATTCCCATCCGGTAGGCCCTTTAGACTAAGTTTAGATTCAGGCCGTATGAAAGTCAGCATTATTTTTAGGTTCACAGGTCAATACGTCGCTGGAATTCTCTTTTCTGAATCTGTGTCAGGTGCAGCTTATTCCAGAAGGCCCTTACTTTCAGATTGTCAGAGGGCACTGTGGCCGCAGGGAGTGGGTCCGAACACTGGAGTCAAGAAGCGGAGCAGCAACCGAGTACGGAAGTCCGACGGCAGCCGAACGTCAACGCATTGGCATTCGTTCTCAATGCGGAAGCGGTCTTGTGCATTTTTGAGTGATGAGCGAGAAGTTAGAGTGAGCGTAGTGTTAGGTCAGTCGACGGTGCCTGGTGCCATGGCTGGAGAGAGAGAGAGAGAGAGAGAGAGAGAGAGAGAGAGAGAGAGAGAGAGAGAGAGAGAGGACAAGCAAGGCAGGTGTTAGAGTGGAAGTAGGCCAAGAGAATATATGTTGAGAGAGGGAGAGACTTACCTGTGTGCCGTGCGTGGGCGGCCATAGTCGGGAGCGTGGGTGGCCATAGCCGGGAGCGTGGGCGGCCATAGCTGGGAGTGATAGCTGGGAGTGATGAGGAAGATAATTTGTGGGCGGCCATAGCTGGGAGTAATGAGGAAGACAGTTCAGTTACTCGTGTTAATTGCTGATTCTAATTCGTATGTCATGTGTCTGGACCCCCCCGACTCCGATAGAGGAGAAGGTACAGGAGACACAAACGACCCGTGCACAGGGATGGGTGGACGACGCGGGTTGGAAGAGGGTGGGGAAGAAAGGAGGGAAAGGTGGGAAAGAAGCCTGGGTCCAAAAACAACAGATGGAGCCCGGACTGTCGCGGGACGACACTGGTTGCTCCGGCGGCATCCCGGGCCCCGCTGTCGGGCGGTACATCAGGGAGGAGGAAGTGGTGGATGGCACTGGGACCCACCAAAAGCAACCCGCCCCAGCAGACCAGCGACAAGAGAAACCACAGAGCGGGTCTGAGGTTGCAAGGGGGGAGAGCGGAAAGGAAAGGATGCTGCGTCAAGAGATCACCAACAACCCCCCTAAACAGTTGGGACGAGAGTATGCAAGGAAACAGCAGGAGAGTCAAGTGGGGGTGGGTGATATGGAGGTGGAAGCGGGGCAACAGAAACAACAGAGCGGGCCTGAGGCTGCAAGGGGAAAGAGCGGAGAGAAAATGACGCCAGTAATGCGAGAAGAGATCACCAACAACCCCCCCAAACAGTTGGAACAAGAATGTGCATGGAAAAAGCAAGGGGGTCAAGTAGGGGTGGGTGATATGGAGGTGGAAGTGGGGCTGAAGGGGGAAGGAAACTCGGCGCATGGAGAAGGGTTAACAGAGGGGAGCGTTCCTGGGGGACTGCCGAAAGACGCTGATCCCTTCCATGCAGCCTTTGACCCAGAACCGATGGAAGTGGACCCCCTTCCGGTAAACGTCAACTCGTCACCGGAAGGCTTGGGCCCGGAAGGAGTCCCGGACGGAAACGAGGAAGGGGCGCCCCCACAGCACCTACCTACAGAACAGAAACTGGTCGCTATTGCAGACTGGCTGGTGGGGAATTTAAAAGCGAAATAGGGCCCCCTCACTTATGAGTTCTGGGATAAGACATATTTGGAGTTGTTCCCGATGCTTGACACGAACGCCTCATTTAAGTATGTGCTGGATAACGGTCTGCAACCTGGAGTGGGGTGGACAGAAGCATGGCATAGACTGACGACAATCGTATTTACACGATTTCATCCACCGCACTCTGCAGCAACAACAGAAGCGGAACAGGGGGAGGTCCCATCCGTGAGACAGTCTGATCATCAAGGGACACAGCCTCCCCCGGGGCTGAAACACCCGGACCCGCCGGCCCCAGACCCCCCGGACCCGGAGGAGAACGAGCCACTGGACCTGATATGGAAAAGAAAGCTCAGACACCTAGTAGAGATGGGTGGCGGCCTTGGCCCGCTGTCACGAGAGGCCATGTTGATCATCCCGGTGGGAAGAAAAACAAGAAATGGGAGGTGGGCCTGTTCCCGGACGAGAAAGCCAAACACGAGACGGTCACGTTACAAGGCTGGCCGTCCACAAAACAGTGATTCTGAGGCAGCAACATAAATTCTGCAAATGCAACTGGAGACTTACATTGCAGAATCCCTACCGCCAGGGGCACAGGCCCTAGCCCCAATCACAAACGGCCCTGGTAAGATAGCGCAACGAGATGTCTATATCCGTTATGACCCATCCAAAGAAGCAGACCTGAAATGGTTCTCCCGCACTCAGTTACTCAATCTGCAAACGGTCAGGATCAGGATGTCCAACGATGCTTATGTGCGCTTCTTAGACGGGGCCAGGACTGGGACTGGGACCTGTTACTGTGGACTCGCCTGTAGGATAAAGTCGAAGGAATGAGAACAATAAGAACCTACTTGCAATGGACCCAGTCAAAGTGGTGTACGGAAAGGACCGGATTTGGAACCAATGCAGGAGAGCAACAAACCTGGATTTACGCTCCTTGAATGTCAATGGTCTAGCCTCCTGCAAGCCGGAGAAACAAAATGCAATATGGGACTTGATGAGAGGAGTGGGGGGAAGGAATTGGCCAGATATAGTTTGTGTCCAAGAAACACACCTGATGGACACCCCGGAACACAACCGCATACACAAAATGATCTGGCCTTATACGGCCTTCAGGGCTCATGCCCCGAAACCGGGTAGTGCCGGGGTGGCCATCTGGATCCCTCCCGAATCCCGGGCAGATCCGGTGCACTGGGTGGTAGACGAAGAGGGTGGACGATGGGTGTCCATCCTGGTCACGTTGGAACTCGAAATTATTTGCATTGTACGTCTTTACGGCCCTTGCACCGTGAGGGAGAGAAAAATTTTCTTCGAGAACATTCACACACAAATTCCGGAAGGGGTTCCGGTCATTATACCAGGGGACTGCAACGCGGCCCCTGACCGGTGGATGGACAAATGGCGGACGCCCTCCCCAGCCCCGGCGTATGTAGAGGAGGACGAGCGAATAATAAACAACTTATGTCTGTCACTAAAAGTCTTCGACTCCTTCAGGAGGCTGAACCCGGACACAAGGTTTTATTCATGCCTGCGAAAAACTGGAACTGAAAACCAATCGAGATCCCGTATTGACCTGATCCTCATATCGGAAGACATGGGGGGATCCCTCCTGCTCGCAGCAATCTTGCCCTCTAGCCCGTACTTGGGCCTTGACCACAAAATGTGTACAGTCATTTTGTCTTTCCGAAAAAAAAACGACCATGGGCCAGGCTTTTACAAGCTTAATACCCACATCTTGCTGCAGAAAACTTTTCAGAACTATGTCACGGTCTGCTGGAAGTTCTGGCGCGAGTAAAAACAACACTTTCAACAGGAGATAGACTGGTTCAATAACGGTTTGTTTTACATAGGCAAAAAATGCCAAGAATATTCTAAACTTTTAGCGGCCAGAAAGCATCAACAGGAGATGGAATTGCACCAACAATTAAAGCAGCTTGAGCTCCAATACCAAACTGATGATATTCAAAACTCACAATCGCCAGAAAATGAAATCCAAACACTGCGATAGCAACTTCAAAACTTTGCCACACAACGCTGGGAAGGCACCAAGATAAGAGGGAGAATGTCAAAACACCAAACAGAAGGAACAATGGACAAAAAATTCTTCAGTATGGCCCGGGTACGGTCACATAGAACGACCATCGAAGCGTTGTACGACCCGCAGACCAGGCACCAGGATATCATTACCTCCACCCCCCACTGCACGCAGATCGCTAGAACCTTCTACCAGGACCTGTTCACTTCAAGGTGCGGCCGTCGAGAGAGGCGAGTCAAGGAGGACGAAATCGATGATTTTCTGAAACCTTTGGAGAAAACCCTCACAGGAGAACAAAAATCAGCGTTGGACCGACCTTTGTCGAAAAATGAAATCTGGACAGCGATGATGCAAATGGAGGAAGAGAAGACGCCGGGCATCGACGGTCTCCCTAAAGAATTCTGGGAGACTTTCTGGACCTTGATGGCCACGGACCTCATGGAGTTTTATCAGCAGGTGTGGGAAACAGGACGGATGGGGGAGTTGGTGCGAGAGGGGGTCCTTACCCTGTTGCACAAAAAAGGAGACAAGATGGACATTCGGAACTACCGACCAATAACGCTGCTCAGAGTAGTGTACAAATTGCTAGCAAAAGCACTGGCAAATCGGCTGCTCCCTACCTTGGAAGATATTATCTATCCAACACAAACCGGTTTTGTCCAAGGGCGCAGGATTCAAGACAACATCTTGCTTGTCAACGAACTTCTTAGACTAACAAGACAGGACAAACGTAATGCAGCCGTGATCTTCATAGATTTCGAAAAGGCATACGACCATGTGGACTGGCTGTTTCTGGATAAATGCATGGACAAAATGAATATTGGACCAGTTTTCCTTCGCTGGACGGAAATACTGCACCGCAACGCTACAACCTCGGTCCAAATTAATGGAAGAATGGCACCGCCCTTCCCGCTGCGACGGTCGGTCCGTCAAGGGGACCCGTTGGCTCCCTTCTTGTTCATCATTGTGATGGAGGCACTGGCGGCGAACCTCCGAGCCAACAAAAGACCTGAGGAAACTGCAGATCTCTGCCATCCCAGAAGAGGCGATCCCTATTTGTTCAATGTTTGATGACGACCTCACTCTTGTACTTGATGCAACCGCAGCAAATATGGAAGAGATCAGGCGACTGTTTGACCAGTTCACAGCGATCTCAGACATGACCGTTAACTGGGGAAATAAAACCCTAGGGTGGTGGATCCACCACCAAGGGGCACGCCCCCCTGAGCAGCCACGAGTTAAATGACTCCCAGAAACGGCCCCAGTCAGGGTGCTTGGAATCATGTTAACGGCTTTGGGCAAACCCGCATCTAACGATGAATGGATCTTGAAACTTGCCTTGGAGAAGTTGGCTCACTGGAAAGACCGTCACACTTCCCTTATTGGCAGGGCTTTGGCGATCAATAGCGTGGTGCTTGCGGCCCTCTGGTAATCCGCAATTTGGGCTCTTAGTAAGGAGGCAATCCAATCGCTCAAACGGCAGCGAGCGGCCTTGCTATGAAGAGGCAATGGGGAACTTTCGAATGTAATAAGTAGGGTGGCCTGGTCTTCGGTGATCCAACCCAAAGAAAAAGGGGGCTTGGGGATTCTGGACCCGAAGACCCAGGTCACGGCATTAACAATTCAATGGGTGAGAAGGCTACTCTTTACTCTACGTCTCCCGTGGCAAGCCCTGGCGCTGGAACAAATCGCTAGATTGGCTCCACAGGCTCCACAAGAAGTACACCCGCTGACCTGGCTGGAAGACCTCTTCTGGGCGGTGCCACAGTCCCCTCGAAGGGGTCAACTTGTGGGCCGTGACACACCCCGCTCGGATCTGGCCCAGGATGACTTCTGGGTCCGAGTGTTGAAAGCCTGGCGCAGACTCCCGTTACCAGATAAACCCCTGCCGTCCAGATGGGATGAGGTCGCACGCCAGCCCTTGTTTGGGAACCGAATGATAACAGGCCGGTACAACAGGGTGTATCGTAGTTCAAGTCCTCTGTGGAGCAGCTGGGTTAAAAGAGGTATAATCAGAATAAAGGACATATAGGATACAGAGAAAGGAGATTGGAAATCTGCACAACAGTTAAAGTCTACACTAAAGTACTGTCATAAAGTGGAAGAACATATCGAATCGCTGATTTTTGCCATCCCCTTGGACTGGGTGCGCATTCTGCGAAAAGGGCCGCGACTGGTAGAAGGAGACTGGGTAGCAGCCCCGGGCGAGCCGGCCAGCGTGGGTAGCGTGGTGGAGGTACGTCCGGACGAGTCTCTGGTCAACCTCTTCCACGTGGACAGGGACAACGTGCTCACCCGGTACGCTCCAGACGTGACGAGATGGTGGAGAAACACCGACCTGCACAGGATTCGGGTACTGCGGGACAAGGACGTGTGGATTGCATACCAACCAGACACCCCCCTGACAGAACTCCCGCTGGACCCGCAGGAATGGCAATCGGCCCCCCCACGAAAATACAGGTCGGGGGAGAATAAAAAGTTATACTCCCTAACGGTGAAAGCCGCTTATCGTCTGCTGCGACCCAAAGTGAACCTAAAAGAAAGGGTGAAAGCTCGCTGGAAATCCCAGTTGAATCCGGGATCAGAGGAGATGCGCCCCATCCAATGGTTCACCACCACACGATCTAGGCCGGCGAGGATGGCCTCACTACAGTGGCAAGTAGAACACCGCTGTTTGCCCACCAACGACTGACTCATAGATCGTACATACCTAGAACAGAAAGGGAGGGCATTACCATGGTGCAAGTCGTGTCACTCAGCCTTCCCCTCCCGCAGAATCCCGAAAACCATAGAACATATATTCATGTAGTGTCCGGGGGCTGTTCTCACA